TGAGGGAAATGTGCTCTTACAGAACAGGTAAAAGCTTTATGTGTCTGTGAAGATGGAGTCAGACCACCAGCTAATAGAAATGAGCCTGTGTAGAACTGACCGCAGGGACACTTTTTTCCAGAGATGCTTTTTTCCAGGAATTGATGCTTTTTCAAATAGTGCTGTTACAATCAGGAAGAGATTCCATGCTTCATATTGTCAAATGGAGTGTTTTAGCCAACAGAAATGCATATTTAAGAGGAATTTGTCATTGTTTTTGTTAGGATACAAAGATCAACACAAGATTCTTTCTGTCAGACATATATTCTCAGAAGGAAATGCATAGTACACATAAATTATTTATGATCATTTCTTACATTGTAACTGTATCTATGTAAAAGCCAAAATAAATATAAACTGTTCCAGCTATACAATATACAGTGCTGATGTGTCTATTGCCACATTTTCTATGGCCAGTCTCCTGTCTGTTGTGTTTCTCCAGTGACTGTGTTATTCCAGGGAAATGAGTAACACAAGGGGAGGAGGGTGCATAATGACTTCTACGCTGTAGGGGGTTGTCTGAACTAACACATGGATCATGCTCTACATCTCTTGAATCTGTGTTCATGGTGTATTATGCAGAAAACATGTAGAGGGTGAGCTACTCAGGTTTCTTTGCAAGACAAATCAGTGTGCATCACAGGCACTTCACACTGTTCAGTTCATGACTCTGAGGATTGATGAAATGCTGAAGACAAGAATTTGTCTCCTAAGGAAGACCAAAGCCATAATGGTTCTATTTTTATCTGTGCTATTTTGTAAGAACTGTTTTCATTCTTTTTCTCCCTTTTCAGTGAAGAGATGAAGTATGGGAACACTTGTGGAAATGAAGAGAGCTATAATCCTGTGCTGCTGAAATCTCAGACTTTCACTTGCCAGTTATATAATTACAGCATATTCTAAACAGTCAAAGTATTCTCAAGCCATATATAATCATTGATACAGGATTTGTATGTGTGATGGAATAGAGAAACAAAGAAAAAAGTAACTCAAAATACCCACAAGTCACCAAAATGTTTGCGTTGAAGACGTAAAAGGTTGCCAGCGTGAAATTTTAAGTGTGAATCTTGTAGCAGGAAACTTAATGTAATCCATAATGGGAAACAATTTAAAGACAGAAGATATTATTTGGGAAAGGGAAAATGCTTTACTGAGGAGGGTCAGTTTGGGGGTCAGTATTTTCTGTCATTTTATTCCCTCCATGGACTCAGTTACTGAATTCCCTCTACTACTCAGTTACAGTAGTAGAATTCTGGACTCCCTTCTTGGTTGTTGATATTCCACTTGTGTACAGTTAGAGTATGTCAATTATGACAGCTGGTTATTTCTTCAACACAGAGATTTTGATTATGTCTTGTTTTATGGTTAGTATCCAGTTTTCAGAGGGAATGTTTTCCCACCCAGAAGACAACAAATGTTGGAATGACCCAGTAATTGTTCTTTCCTATATTTCCTTTGGGCTCTTGTTCAGCTAGTTGGATCTGAGTTGTTTTAAACATAATTAGAGCACCATAAATCACTCTGGGTTAGTTTGCATGTGACATCACCAAGGAGACCCAATGGGATGATTAGAGTATTTTTTTGGACAATGTATCTGTAGCTGTGTTAACTACTTTGTCATGAAAATGAAGTTTGTAAACAGTAGTCTTTGCAGAGTAACAAGTTAAAATATATTGCACCCTGATAGAGCTGTTTAGTAAATTAGATTTTCATAGCGCTAATTGAATTTGTCACAAAGCTGATGAACATTAGCTAAAGAAAGAGCTATATATTTTATTTTATTGAGCACATCTCAGAGTGCTTGTAATTTAGTAGGGCCACCACACTTTCTGGGCAGGCTATCAAGTAGGATGTTGTAATGATTTGCATGACTACTATACTAGATGGAAAAATGTAGCTCGTATTTGTAGCTGTTCCATTAGCGTGTTGCACAGTGTGCACTCCTTTGGTGCTCTTCAGAGAGCTATGTCATAATCCCAGCATCTTTTGAAGAATTCTGTCTGGTGAAATCAAGTAACTATACATCGTTTAAAACCTAGTGTGTTATTGTATGATGAGACAAAGGAAAGACTGAGAAAGCCAGATAACCAATAGAATCCTGAAGTTATCAAAACAGAGTTCTTGCCAAGGACCTTGGAATTCATCTGATTCACTTACTGGAAAAATTCCCAAATTAAAAATTATCCTATGAGGACCAAGAAAATGGATCCAGATTCTGGCACTCTACAGTTTTCTCCCAAAATGGTCATTAATGCTGCAAAAACAGAATAGGGTGAACAACCCTTGGCCCCATGGTTGGCCCCCTGCTGTAGGGTCTATCTGCCAAAACAAGATGGAATAGAAGATCAAAAACGGAAAGGGAGTGGGGAGGTGGGGTAAGGTTGGAAAAGGAGAACTTGGAAAAGGAGGGTGGTTGGAAAGGAAAAAACTCTTAGACTATGCCCCCTGCCAGCACTGAAACACTCGACTGCAGCTCCACTCGCAAAGCACCTGTTGGCAGCTGTTGGAGTAGTTTACAGGTTTTGGGACAAAATCAGGATAGAAATCTTATAATCTATGTTCACTTATGTGACATGTGATATGGCCTTATTTAAGTAAAAGAGAAGTAATTTTTGGACAATAAGTACAGCAATAAATATATCTGCACAGAAATAATGATGACAGTTTTTGCTTTCATTAGAAAAATTGCATTCTTTTTAATGAATATTATTACTACTACTATTAATATCCTTTGGCTGATATCACCTATGCTGTCTTCCTTTTATCCAGAATTGAAAAACAAAACCATGTTCCGTGGAGTGAAAAGAAAATACAGCAAAACAATGATCATAAATATTAACCTGATACTGTCCTTCAAACTCAGTGGCACAAGCTAGGGATCAGGGGCTATCTGGCCATTTTTGTGTTTTGCAATCTTTATGTATTGGAGTCGAATGATAGGAAAGAAAAAAATTGTTTATGTTAAATTAGAGGTTTCAGCAAGTATTTTATGTCAGGAACTCCGTTTAAACATTTTAACATCTTTACAAACTTTAATGTAGATGCCTGTTAAATATATTTAATTTAGATTTCTAACATTACAGTTTAAGCCCTCTCTTTGTTGCTAACTCCAAAAGTTATTTGTATTCATGTACAAAACTTTTTGCAGTTCTTTGCTGTTATATAAATAGCTTATTATTCCTTATGATAAGTATATAACAATTATCAATAATATGTGTATTTGCTGTGTGAAGTATATCAAGCAGAAATTAAATGGTTATTTTTAAATATAGGTATTTATTATAGGCTGAGCTAAAAACTCTGTTGCATTTATGACTATAATGAGAATCCTCCCCTGCTAATGCTTTGGTTCAATGTAAAAGGCTTATTTAGTAGGTACCTATGTTACTCAGATGGTTTGGATAAACTTGAAATAGAAAGTAGATAATATTTTGAAATTTAATCCTCTCTGATATAAGCTTTAAAAAAAACCCCACAGTTTTCCTGTTCTATCTGAAACATTAAACTTATTAGTTCTAAAATAATTGATATTTGAAACTTTAAGCCTCCCTGAGATTTCTATTCAATAATGAAAAGAACTCAAGTTTCTGATACTGCAGTGTACGCTGCTCAGGTGGGGCCTGGTTCCTTCATGAAGCCCACCAAGAACTTTTCTCCATCAAGTCTGTCAGAGAATAGGGCCAAAATGCAAATTCCATTTGTTCAATAGTTTGTGTGTGGAACATTTCAAAATGAGAGTTTTCATTTTGTGTTAGCGTAATTTCTTTACCTTGCTTAGAAAGAGAAAGGAACTGAGTATCCTAGCATGTAAAAAATTGTCTTAAGTATTAGAGACTGTTAATAACACCTGAGATCAGACGTGTTCTGTGCCATTAAAGTAAAGGGACAGAATCTGGAGCATGAGACAATGACATCTGAAATAGGAAAGCATCTAGTGGAAAGTAAGCATGTGATTAATTTCAGTAGGACTCTATGGTGTACATACTTAGCTGGGAATCACCAAAAGACACATTCTTTATTACAAAAAACTTTGTAACTATTTTTACTATAAAGATAAATAAATTAAATAAATGCACTCAAACTTTGTAATAAGTATAGTCTTCACAAACTGGTTCTGTGTGCAATAGCATTAGGTTCATTATGCTGGATAAAAAGATGGAAGGTGGATATTTAAGACTCAATAAGACAGGGGAACAGAAATTTCAAAAACATTGTTATTATTATCTTGGACATAGATGTATATATATAATTCTTGACATTTCAAAATCCTGTAAGACTTTTATAGTGGTTTCATTATCTCTGCAGATTGATAGATCTCAAAAATACACTTTTACTCTGATCCTGATAAACATATCTTTCTATTGTATGTTTGCTCTTTGGAATGATATATGAAATGGATAGTAGAAGAAGGAAAGCCTAGAAAATTTAAGCAGAAAATTCTCCCTGGGTTGCATATGGATTTTTCATGAGGTGTCAGGTGGGTGGAAAAAATAACAGAGCCAACTTTGAAGCTGGTGGTGACAGGTGCATTTAGGATCTTCCAGATCTCTCTTACCTTGGCATTGCCTCCTTGCAATTCACACCTTCTATTCAGGCATGTAGAAAGTTCCCAGCATGTGTATGTAAGTGCTTATGATGAACAGTGGAGCAGGAAGAGGAAAAGCCAGGACTAGGCATCAGCACAGAAAAATGAGCAAAAACTATGATTAAATTGATCACGTAGCTTACATCCTCACTTTCTCTACAATAATGAAGAACTAACACTATTTACTGTCAAAAATCCTTACTATTCTTACATGCTACAGAGGAGTATGTTTAATACATTAGGTGTTTTAGTAGTGTATCTTCAATGACATGCTTAGGTTTTTACTTTATTTTGCAAATTTCAAATGAGTCAATGAAAATTAAACTACCAACTATGTAAAAATGTTTATTGGGCCTTTTTTATTATTCTTTTATAGGTCTTGTAGAAATTTGCCTGATGCATCCCCTTGATGTAGTGAAAACAAGGTAAGATTGTGCTTGAACAGGTTTTGTTGACACTGGAAGATATTCAGATTGCAAGCTGTCAAAAAATAAAATCCTTGAACTTCTCCAAATAAGATAACTTGTGTCTTTAATGACATTTATATTTACTTACCTGTATCTACAGCATTCAACAGATGAAATTTGAGTAGCATGACACATTTCTGATTAGAGGTCATCTAAAGGTGTTAAACCTGTTTATGACATGTATTTTCATTGTTGTAACACAACCCTATGACATGAAGAGGACTATAGTTAAATTCCCTTACTATATGTACCATCTGCAGTAATGCTTTATATGTAAGAGATACTGTATGGTCTTCAAATAATTTTCACAAATTTTTTTATAAAAGTAATAAGATGTTCTGTCTTCTCTCTGTAAAGCTAAATAACTTCATGATTTTATCTTTTTATAGATTTTTTTATCCATCCTTATTTTCTTTCCTGAATATTTGTTCTTACATGAGTAAATGATTAAATGACCTGGAAATTTTGGTCAAATTAGGGTTTTTTTAATGTTGAATTACTGAGATGGAAAAAGAATAGTTGCATTTCTAGTTTCTGGAATATCCTTTTATTTTCTACGCTTTTTAGTTTTTATATAAATTCCTAAGTGAATGTAATCGTATGTGAAAAATAAATCAGAATGGAGAAGCATACAATAACAAGAAGAAAACTATTCATGCCATGTGTGTTATGCAGGGCCAGTAATTACCATATACTGCTCCTGCGGCTTTATCTGTGTCCCAGTCATGTAGGTAGAAAAGCTTCACCAGGAGATAAATCAGTCCCAGACAAATGATGAGGACAACTGTGGTCTCTGAAATATGCTTGAAGATGTCAATTATGGCTTGAGATTCTAGTTACAGTTAACCACCGTGTGAGTTTTTTATTGATGTATTTTTGGCTTCTGTTTGAATCACATTCTGTGGTTTGCATTAGACCTTGAGATGCCTTTTTCTGCAGGTTGCATTTTGCAGCAGGAAGCCATCTCTCTGTGGTCATTGCCCAACACCAGAAGGCAGTTGTTAAGGCTCTGTCTGCATTATCTGCTGCTGAGGTGCTGTAAGTCCTCCTTGGGGCTTGGAGTTTACTCAAGCAATTCTTCTGTATGCCTACATAATACAGAATGTGTTAAAGCATCACAGAATGTCCTGAAAGGGACCCATGTGTCGATTCATCTAGAGACAGTGCACCTGGTAGTCTCAAAGGTGGTCCTTCTAAGTACCACTGAGGCTGTGCTATTAAAACAAGACTTACATGAGAAGATGGAAACTATTGACTCAGGAGCAACAGGGTACAAGCAAAACAAATACAAGACCAAATTTAAAAGAAAAAAATCTTTCTTGCTCTGCTGTCATATGGTCCTCAAAGGATATGCTTTAGTGACTTAATTTGGGCAAGTTTTGCTGTAACTCACCTATAGGTCTCAAGCTTTTGGTTTTACATCTTGCCATTTTCCTCTTTGTACTGAATTAGGAATCATATTCTTTTGTAGTATAAATGCAGCTTTTGTAGTATAAATGCAGCAGCAGTGATTTACTTCTCATGCCTTTGGTGCCTTTGAAGTTGGCATCCTACATGTCCTCTTGTCTCCAGTCTTGCTTGAAAACATTTCATGTGTATCCTTAGAATCATTCATATTTTAGTATATGCCATATACCATATACCAGGAAAAGAATTAATTGAACATCTCTGTTGATAAACTGGCAATCAACGCATGCACTTTCCGCTTTCTGATAGAAACTGTGGAGTGGAGTCTCAGAACACAAGGACAGATTTCACCATTTCTATTACAGATTTTACTGGGATTGTCACACTTTTAGTAGTAAAAAGGTTTATCAGATCTGAGATGCATAAGCATAAAGCATTAAAGAGTATATGGGGATGTTTGTAAAACTCTATTAATACTGAAAAATATAATTAAAAAAAATAAAAGGAAACCTTTTAATGTGAAATCTGAGTTCATAAACAGTGGAATTTTTAGAAGAAAGAAAGAGGAAAGTAAGAAAGAGGAAAGAACGTAGGTGTGCAGAAGAAATCTGATTATGGATCAAGGTAAAACAGAAGGACTGAGTCAAATAAAATATCCATTAAACAAATTTCTTCATTTGAGGAAACTTCAGTTGAGTTAACTCTTCCACTGAGTTAGCTACAATTCTTTGCAGAAGTGGGCAGCACCTAAGTGACAGTTTTTCTGGTTTGGTGATGCAGATTTATCTGGAGATACCACACAGATTTTGCAGTTGAAAATACTCACACTTTGAAAGCCAGTGGCGAAAACAAGAAAAGAATATCCTTTGATCTCATCCGTCCTTTCATTCTATTTTCCTAAACATCATGCTTCTTCCTTTCATGTTGCAGTGGTCCAAATTTATTAAAACAGATTAATTCTTTTATGGCCTTGAAGAAGTTCAAATGAAACATTGGTTTTAATTCTGAACTTTGGATATAGAATATTTTCTGATACTTTTTTATTTACTTTATTCCTCTCTTGCACTGCCACCAAGTACTGCAGTTTACTTAATCCAACATAGTTTTGATAATCTCTACATTCCTAGTCACTTCCAGCAATTGCAGTTGTGGTGTTTGGTTTAGGGTTTTCTTCCTTTTGGTTAAGTGAAAAGATATATAAAAGCAGCATTTGTTGCTTAATTTTTATGGTGTTTAAAGTATTCTTCCTTTTTTCTATAAAATGTTTGTGTGATGAAGAAAGTCCCTTGGCCTTTTCAGGTTAGTGAAATCTCATTGATCTAAGTAACTGTTCTGAAGGAATTTAGGGAAAATGTCAGAGGCTCGCATCTAGTGGACTGGTGGCTTAGCATCTTTGCTTTGTTTATATTTTGTGTATGTTTTTAATAAAAAATTGGAAAAAATAAAGTTCCTGTCAAAGATTATTTTGAAACCCTGGAAGATGGTTTGGCTCTTTTTTCGCCATTTTGCAATATATTTTCTGTGTTTAGCAATTTTCTGGTATTGTACAGCAACAATGCTAGACTTGTTTATCTGCTCACATCAAGGGAGAAACGATATATAAGTACATGCTTATAAGCAACAGACAATCTAAATGCTTATTGAAGTGATTTTTCCTAAGTATACATTTGAAAATAATTTTATTTTTTAATCTATTAGAACACTGAAGATCACTACTTTAAAAAATTCGTGTGAGCTAAGTATATGAAGATAACTATGATCCATTGTTTTAACTCTATGAATTCCACTTATTCTTTGAAATAAAGCTCTTTTCTCAATTGCAAGATATATTGGTATAGCTTCTGATGAGACACTATTAAAAAAAGATGTGCTAAATTTTTTATGTTTTCATAGAACAGTCTCTGATAGCTGTTTTATTTGTCAGTTACCCTTGTGATTATTTTAGCCAGCTGTAGATGAAATAAAGTACTGAATCTCTTTCTTGTTCTCCTAAATACAGAGTCTGGTAAGTTTTCTGTGTGTGCCTATGTATAAGAAGTGACAGCAGTAGCAAGAGGTTTTCAGTACAGATACAGTCAAGACATAAAAAGTCTACTTTTTAATTAAGATGATATTTGCTAGAAAGTGAGAGGGGAGATAAGTTTCTTAGTCTGGATAAAGAATTGGTTTTGCTTATTTTGAATCGGTTTTGGGTCTTAAGAGTAATGCAGGCAGTAATGTAATTTTCATCCATCAGACTTCAAAAGGATGACAAAATGGCATTCTAGATCATGGTACATAGGACAAGACATTGCCGTATATATCACTTTAAAACTAAAAATAGTAGAGTGCTTTTCCACATAGGGTTTATCCTTTGTATCCTAGTGGCATATGTTTTGGCTTAAACAAATGTACAAAATTCATAACTTAATAGCGTTTTATTGTTGAAAAATTATTATTTATGCAACAGCTCACAGATTGCACAACTGTAGTTGGTGAGGGAAAGGGAAAGAATTACAGGGAATTGTCTAAATTCAAGGGAAAGCTGATGGTGTTTGAGGAATCAGTCAAGCAAGCCTGACTGATAAGGGGAGGATGTTACCATGGTCTGTCTGGTAGTTCCATGTGATGTTCTGATGTAGTCCCCTAGCCTTGAAGAGCTTGAATTTTCAGGGAAAAAAACTGTTCCTTTTTTTCATTTGCCTACTACTGAGTTGCTGGCATAAAAATGTCATTTTCAGGAGCTCCGTAACTTTGAACTACATGCCCTAACATAAAATTTTCCTTGCTATTACATTTTAACACCTCAAGAAATGCATACAGCCAAGGTTGATATTGGAAAGTTAGAACTATGACTAGAAGTAAATTCTTGGCTAATATTTCCTCAGGTTTATGAGTTAACTTTACGTGCACTTTCTCTTTTACTTTGATTATCACCAGTATTTATACAGCTGAATTTTAGTGATTTCACTGTTCTTGAAAACAAATTTCAAAGCTGCCTGTGCAAGTATTTGTACAGACTGTGAAACATATATTGAAGTAGAAATAGTCATTTTGGATTGTATAGTTATGAAATAGAAACCATACTTTGTAATTTTTTTAACAGTTGTCTACATGACAGAGTTTAATAGAAAACACAAATGAAGAAATATAAGATTAACTGCTTTCAAATAATAGAGAAAAAAATAACAGCACGTCACCAAAACCTTTCAAATGCATAACACATCTGAAAAAAATTGTGTTTGAAATTCCTGTGAACAGGAAAAACATTATATGGATTAGATGAATTATTTACTTCTCTCTTTCCTTTTGGCAGTAATTTGACATCACTATGCATTTTGAGGAAAATATTTGAAAGAAAGATGATTTGTCTCATATCGCACTAATACCAAATTGTACTCCAGATCTGTGTTGACTTCAGATTAATTCATACAACTTGAGTATTTAGGTGTTTTTTTCACTTCCAAAGTATTCAAAGACTGATAAATGTTATTACATACCAAATACCATCTAAAGGACTCGGAAAAAGTCTAGTTTATTATTTTACCAGGAGAATCAGTAGGGTAACTTTT